TGATCAAAGTGTAGATTGAACTGGACCTCCCTTTAACTTAGACTTCGAGATTAAACAATTTTCGGAATACTAAGTATATTTATTATATCTGCTATTGTACAGCTATGTAATGTGAAGAACTGAATAGTGGCCAATGACACTTTTTCTTCACTTATCCAGTGTATAGGTTTTTCTCATAGTGACTTTAAAGTACGTTCACACCAACAGTATGTGTGAGTTGTATCTGATGTTGAGAGTAAAACATTTTTCAAAACAACCTTGCATATTTAATATTCACAATAAAGTTATATTCATAATATATGGTTATATTTAGAGTAAATAACGATTTAGCTGGCACAACAAGGCGTCTAGTAGCAATGTCTGTGTCACGTCGTATCACAATAAGAAAGGTAATAATATACATTACATCATTTTTTACTGACCCAGTATGGGCTTCCAGTAAGAAACATGTAAATTATGAAATTTCAGTTACATCTATTGCTATTAAATGTCACGTTTCCATACCTGGTGCGTCCTGCACCATCAGGCTTATTTACTTTCATAAACGACTGGTGTAAATGGTATTTCAACGACGACTTTGTATGTTCTAACTTAGCCGGCTTTATGAGGTGTGACATTTTTGTCTTAAGGCCTCGTTGGAGTGGCGTACAACAGACAAGGTATAGTTGAAATGCCATTATATACTCGTCTTACTTAAAGACCTGTAGCCTGGTACGGCCTAGTGGTTAAAGTGCTAGACTCGCAATTTTTCGGGGTCGCGGGATTGAATCCCGTCCCCGAACAAGTTCGCCCATTCAGCCATGGGGGTTTTATAATTCGTTGGTAAAAAAGTAGCACAAGAGTTAGTAGTGGGGTGGGTGGTGTTGACTAGGTGCCTTCTCTCTAATCTATCACTGCTAAATTAGGGACGGCTAGTGCAAATAGGCCTCGAGTAGCTTTGCGCGAAATTCAACAAAATAAACAAAGATATGCTTAGAAACCCTTATAAGGACAGTAAAGAATGGTGTAGCTTAAACTATTATCACTCTTACTGTGATGTACTATCAATGCTAAATACCAGTTTTAAACAAAGATATGCTTAGAAACCCTTATAAGGACAGTAAAGAATGGTGTAGCTTAAACTATTATCACTCTTACTGTGATGTACTATCAATGCTAAATACCAGTTTTAAACAAAGATATGCTTAGAAACCCTTATAAGGACAGTAAAGAATGGTGTAGCTTAAACTATTATCACTCTTACTGTGATGTACTATCAATGCTAAATACCAGTTTTAAACAAAGATATGCTTAGAAACCCTTATAAGGACAGTAAAGAATGGTGTAGCTTAAACTATTATCACTCTTACTGTGATGTACTATCAATGCTAAATACCAGTTTTAAACAAAGATATGCTTAGAAACCCTTATAAGGACAGTAAAGAATGGTGTAGCTTAAACTATTATCACTCTTACTGTGATGTACTATCAATGCTAAATACCAGTTTTTTTATGAGGTAAGTCATAGCTGTTACCAGACATAAAGATAGTAATGCCATATAAGACATCGCTATTAGTGTTCAGATACTGCTAACCATAAAACACCTCAAGGTTTACTCATTGCTATCCTTATCATCATAAAACGTCCCCATGGTTAATGACTTTACTGACCACAAGCACATGCCAAGGTCCATTGACACTTTTCGTCATAAAATATCCCCGTAATCAGTGATTTTACTGAACTAAAACACACACCACTGTAGTGATTTTACTGAACTAAAACTCACACTAAGGTATTGATTTCACTGAACTAAAACTCACACTAAGGTAGTGATTTTACTGACCTAAAACTCACACTAAGGTAGTGATTTCACTGCACTAAAACTCACACTACGGTAGTGATTTTAATGACCTAAAACTCATACTAAGGTAGTGATTTTAATGACCTAAAAAACACTCCAAGGTAGTGATTTTACTGAACTAAAACTCACACTGAGTTAGTGATTTTACTGACCTAAAACACACCCCAAGATTTATTCACTGCTAGTTTCTATCACAAAACATCACCGTTAGTGATAAATGATACAAATGAATTCAACACAATATTCATCTGTTTGACAAAACAATATAAATCTTATAACACATGACAAATTGACAAAGGTAATATAAATCAAAGAAAGCAAGGCATTTTTTAAAAGGTAACACAAACTTTATGGCTTTTGATAAGGCATGTTATAAACTATAAACCACATGATATACATGGTACTTTCACAAAGTTAATATAGGCTTTATATAGGCACTCACAACGTAGGTCAGTGAATACTTTTATAAAGCGGAGTACCAAAACAAGAAAATGACATTCCGTGTATCTTTATCTAACTATCTTCCATGAGATTACATATAGATGTGTTGTATTACGAAGTTAAACTATCTTTATCTAACTATCTTCCATCAATTAACGGTGTAAGATTACCCTATAGATGTGCTGTATTACGAAGTTAAACTATCTTTATCTAACTATCTTCCATCAATTAACGGTGTACGATTACCCTACAGATGTGCTGTATTACGAAGTTAAACTATCTTTATCTAACTATCTTCCATCAATTAACGGTGTAAGATTACATATAGATGTGTTGTATTTCGAAGTTAAGCTATCTTTATCTAACTATCTTCCATCAATTAACGGTGTAAGATTACCCTATAGATGTGCTGTATTACGAAGTTAAGCTCAATTAACGGTGTATCTTTATCTAACTATCTTCCATAGTTTAACTTTGTAATACAACACATCTATATGTAATCTTACACCGTTAATTGATGGAAGATAGTTAGATAAAGATAGTTTAACTTCGTAATACAACACATCTATATGTAATATTACACCGTTAATTGACAAAAGTCTGTGTCAGCTTATAACCGCTGCATCGATTGTCACCAAACGGCATATTTCCTTAGAGCCCCCCCCCCCCCGAGAAGAGACATGGGATCCGACTTTGTGTTACTTTCGGGGGGGGGACTATTTGTTCTCCTTGCGTTGAACTGGCGAGATGGTAGACCTATTGTCACCAAACCTGTAATGTACGCATAGAACCCCCGCGGTGCAATGTTCGGATTTGACCCCTCTATGTAATCTTCGGGGACTCTTATATCTTCCCCGTTCGTTGATCGGGTAGTCGGCTAGTGATAATATAAAACATATGGTGCAGGACTTTTAAGTCGTGTCTCCGAAGTATATGTCTGTATTGTAAAACACCAAAGTTCATGTTATTATTTGTTGTTTTTCTATAACTTGTACTAATAATTAGTAGTTTACTCCACTTTTTCTTCTTTGCTTTTAGATTCTTCGTTTCATGCATAATTTTGTTCAACTAATATCTTTATTTTATTGTTCAATCAACACTTATATTTCTCTCCAAACAATAAGAACTGAAGTGTATACATTTCCAATAAGACGTTCTATGCATAATATAACACATTCAGATTCACAGTCGTGACGAGAGCGCTCCAATCCGTCTTACAACCACTCCTATATAAGTAAATAGATACGGTAAGCTGACACATATAATTCGAGAACGACTATAACAAAGTAAGTAGCAGAATTAACTGATGGTTTTGAAGAGAGCTTCTTTACGTTATAACTTACAAGGTATCGCAGTCATGAGAAATGAA